GGCGGGCGGGGGGGTGGGCGGGCACATACATCGCGCGAAATGGCCGTCGCATCTGACGTGTAGATGATCAGTGCGACGCGTATAGTTTTTCCAACTTTTTGCGCTTTACTTACCGCTCAGCTGCTCGTCCGACGTGTACTTCGCCGAGGACGACATCGCCGTACGATGCGTCGTATATGGCACTCGTGGGAGTGTAATCGCTCGCGATGAGGAAATAGAAAGAAACGGAGCTAAGGGGCGAGCAAGCACCAGAAACGAGACGCCAGAAACGCACGTAAACGTATAGTATAATATAGTATATATGCGCGACAGGACGCTCACGACTCGACTCGAGCAACGCTACAATGCAACCTGCCGCTATGGACAATCGCGATAAAATGCTGCCGGGAGGGCAGCGCTGCCGTGCTTTGTTTTGACGCACGTCGGCACGCGCATGTGTCAGCTGCGCCAGCCGTCTCCAGCCGTCTCTCCGGGCCAATCACGTCGCGCCGCGGTGTAAATAGACCGCGTGAGTCGACGCGACGTTCGCGTGCGTGGTCAGCGTGATACGACGCACTCGGCACTACGTGCGTCAACCCGCGCGCCGTCTCGGTCGTCGGCTGTCGGCCGGTCGGCCGGTCGGCGTCGCGCGACTTACCGCCGCGCGTACTTTCGAGAAATAAATGCCATGTCATTCCCCTCCCGCGTAAAAAAAATAAAAAAAAAAGAGGAATTCCTTCGAACGACGCGATGATTCGTGATCGCTTCGATCGTCCGCGATTTGTCGTCAGGGCCGACATCTGTCGGGGATAAAGGCGCCACGATAACTCCATATTTATTTTCTTCTCATCGTTCGTTGTACTATATAATTAGCATTACAATTGGATTACTCTAGATTGCGAAAATAGTGGTAATAATAACTATCGAATGTATAAGAGAGATAATGTTATATATAGGCAAGTAGCAATAAATAGAAAATGTCATGTAGACAGTAAATGTTATATGTACAATAAATACTTATATATATATATATATATATATATATATATATATATACATCATCTAATTAATAAACACAAGTGATTAGTGACTAATACAATTTATAATATTTCATATTTCTAACATATCCTATTCTAATTATATTTAAAAATGTGATTTTTGAATAAATAATTATATTTACATAATTTAATTTAAATATACTTATTTATTACATAGAATTTAAAGTAAAATTCTTCCTGTAAAAATCTTTTTGTGCAATTTTTTAATTAAATTTGATTTCACTAATTCACATTATAACGTCGTAAAATCGATAAAATTAAGACGCCGGCGGAATATTTTTATTTTTTGCGAAGCAAGTAGCTTCGCGTTTCCGATTTATCGACAGACGTTTCTCGGGGCTCGGCGATTTCGTCATCTCTCGCGACATAATCCTCGGAACTTTCGAGAACCGAAGTACCTGAACATCCGCAATAGGCGGTCCACTGGTGAAAATTTGGAGTAATCGGAGTTTTACCAACGCTCCCGCTGTAGATTTTAACAACAACGCCGGTGGCAGCACTGTGCGATCGCTAATTTGCGTTGAACGACACGTATTTCGGTACGTGTCCGTGAACTGCGTAAATCACGAGCATATTTCGCGTAACGACCACAAACGATCGACGGGAAGGTGAACGAAGAACATAGAGCGAGTCCGAGGACCCTTTTATTACAGAAGAAGGTACGTTCCGCGTGCGTGATCAAGTTCGATGGGGAAAACGCAACCATCTCCCTGTTACTCCTCGGGAGGGTAATCCGGGCCAACCGTCGTTCGATAAACAATAAGGGGAACAAGAGAGCGAGAGAGAGAGAAAGAGAGAAGAAAGCGAGAGCACGAGAGAGACGCGCCAACCCGTCCGATTTCGATACGATACGAGTACGATACGCGCTCGCAAATATGGTCGCCCGTGCGACCTCATCTGTCAAGTGACTAGGACGATTCTCGCGCCGTGCGTCTCGCTATGTGCCGTTAGCGAGAGGAGCGAGGGAGAGAGAGAGAGAGAGAGCGCGAGAGAGAAAGACAGAGCGACATCGAACTGTCTCGGCGGCCGGGCCGCCAAATTTCAGGTAAACACTCCGGGGGAGTACTAAAAAATCGCTAGAAAAGCCGGATCGGTGGGTCGCCGTTCCCATATGTGCGAAAGTTCGAGAATTTCGCGATTTGTTAACTCAAGACTCCTCCGCGTCCCGGCTCGAGGTTGCGCGCGGCACTCTCGCCTGACGTCGCCTCGAGCCCTCCGCCCGTCAAGGGACCGGTGAGAGCGCACTCGGAATTGACCACTCGAGGGAGTATCTTGTTTATAAGCGGAGTGTTCGTTTGGAGAATCACGTTTCAACACTATTAAAACTGTTTATTTATTTCTGAGCGACTGTCGATAGAAACACGGCGCGGCGCTCGTGTGTCAATAAAATTGTCTTTAAGTCTCTTGACGTTATCTTTAAAACGGTGTTGAGTGGAATGAGACACTGATAACAAGAATTTGCAGGTAATCAGTAGACGCATCGTTCACATACACTGGCTATGAAAATGAAGATCCCAAACGGCGGGTCTGGAAATGGGACGTATTATGGACAAGAGACAGGCATCACTTCCTATGTGGACAACAACAGCGACACGGAGGCTGAGGTGCAAGCGATAGGCGATGGCGACTTTTCGGAGTACCTCTGGATGGAAAATGAAGAGGAGTTTGACAAGCAGGTACCTTATTTATAGATATAAAGCTTCTCACATTATTCTTTATTCCGCACTCGATGTTTTTATCGGCATTAGGTGCTCCAACAATTGGAAGAGGAAGAATTGATGGAGGAGTGCTTAGAAGCCATGCTAGAAGAAGAGAGGCAACATCAAAGAAATATGAGCTCTACTGCTTGGTCCACAGCTACTGGTACTCCCGACAATAATGCTGCTGAACTTTGTCAACAACTAAGCAGTCTGAGGATGCAAGATGATCTCGCCAAGCAGGTACCTGAAGAAATGTTTCTTTTCTTTCAAGTTCTACATTGTGTTTTTGCCTTCTGTTTCTTATATTTTTACTATTTTTTATCTCTTGTCCAATTTCTTTGTTTTCTGTTGTCCAATAAAAAGTTGACAAACTTTGGAAGAGAGGAGAAACAAAATTGTCAATAAAACAATCGCAAAGAGGAAAAAAGCAAGAAACAGAAAACAAAGAGCACATTGTGCTTTAATGAGAGAGAGAGAGAGAGAGAGAGAGAGAGAGAGAGAGAGAGAGAGAAAAGAGAAAGCAATATTCTTTATTTAAATCTTTTAACTAACAATTGCCACTTGTACATGTGAATTTTCAGAGCACGCTAAATCCAGATGCAGCTGAATTTATTCCAGCGTACAAATCGACTGTGGTACCACCTGTAAGTACATCATCAGAAACCACAGTCACTACAGAACCATCGTAGAAATCTTCTGTGTATTTTCTCTCTTGTCCGTTCTCTATTTAAGTCACGTATAAAATCGGGCTACACGTAATGATTAGAATTTACTATTTCCAATCCGACAGTCGTATTAAACGGATCATCGTGTTAGGTGTTCAATGACTGTGACTGTAGGTACAAAGATAAAGAGAGAGATAAAGGGCGCGAATTGTGCATGCGCGTCATCCGAAGCATCAGTTACACAATTAGATGGAACGATAACGCGGTATCCCGAAACTTTTATAGACAAGAAACACGTTCACGTGTATCGTGCGGGACAATTACGTATATTTTTTTGCCAAAATACTAAAGAACGATCGCTTTTACAAATCACTCGTTAAAACAAATTTGCAATTTGCATCTCTTGTTCGATGCCATCTATATTGAGAATCGTTTCTCGCAGAGGCACATGTTTTTAGCATTTTCAATCTTTGTATAATTTGTATAAATTGAAATCAATCATGTACGTCTACGGAAATAACCCACTATTCAAGTTAAACTGAATAGAAGGAACAAAATGCACTGCATGGTTTAAGGAAAGGACTTTCATAAGTTTACGAAATATGTATATGAACAGGAATATAGATATACATATATTATTCTGTAAATTATGTTCATATCTTATATATAATATATATAATATATATATATATATATGTATATATATATATTCTTATCATTCTTGAAACGTATGTAAACCATTTTACCTTTTACAATATTTACTCTTCATCAAGCTGTAAAACCTTTCATGCGCGCGCACACATTAATAAAACTTTTTACAGCCTGAGAAAACGTTTTACAGCTTGGTATTCTATCTGTCCAATAAAAACTTTTCTTAAGAGTTCCTTTTATAATACTTATAGTAGAGAATGATGAGATGTTTACAGAATCATTAGCAGGACATACCTCGCACAATGCGAGATATTATACACGAATAATATAGAGTATGATAAGAAGACTCACAACATCATGTTATTTTTTACTAATATTTTCGATAGATGAATTGGCAACAAAATAATCGTGAGAATGTAATCGGAAAAATCAAAGTTATATTATTTATACAAATATATCGTCTTACTTGAAAATTTACGCAAGCTGATTCTACAGGAACACTATTGTCGAATCCTGCTTCAGCAATCATTTAACAAACTTAAGATCTCAAGTGAAAGTCTTACTTAGGCTGTGAGGGACTCTTTTTACGACTCGTTTTTAGTGACGCTGAGAATCAGGACACACTGCTTACTTATTTTTTAAACCGATTAATATATTTCCACGAGTTAATATTTCGAAATTTTAGACGGTCGTAGATTGTAGAATGTAACTACGATGAAACATGAAAATAGGGTAAATGGTGAATGTACTTCAAATGCTTGAATGGCAAGAAGATTGATTTGACTTTTGATGCAGCATAATATATCTATATATATATATATATAGGCTATTTATAAAAGTTATTTACAAAAGTAGATATCACATCATATATATTTGTACAATATTTGATAGTACCTATTTGTTTGTTTTTTTTATTTCTTTTAAACTTGTATTTTTTTTTTTGAACACAAAAATGATTTCTGAATTGCATTGTCTCGTGAACTCCATTTAATTGATAAAATTTTAACAATTGTATAAATTTAAATCAAACTTTTTGCGATCCAAGATTCTAGTGATTAAAACGCATTCGTGCTTACTTAACGGTGATATCTGCCATTCTTTTTAATTAAGAATAAGTACGAGTTTTAATAAGATCTATACATTGAGATATCTATATATTGTTATGTTTGCATTCTATATACTTTATGTATGGCAAACGTGCACTTTAATCACAATCTGGTTTTAACATGAATGTAGAAATTGTAATTATATATCAAAACAGCGTTACTAAAACTAAATTTGTTGAATATTCAGATATAAGAGATATCATATATTAATCTCTTATAATGTATTTAATTTGGAATTGTTTTCCCTACCACTTTTTGTCTTATGAAACAGATATTAAACATATAATGCGCTTAGCTATAAATCTAATTGCCGACAGAATGAAAATTGAGTAAAAAAAAACGGCTGCACGACTTTGGAAGTAATCGAATATTTTATGATGCGATTAAATGAAGATAACACGAGAAAATAATTAATTTTGTGACGCTCGAGAAAGAAATCAAATCAATGCGAGTGTAAAATAGAGACTGATTTCACGTCCATTTTTACGTCAGCTTTAATCCGAGAACTAGATCGTAATCCATCTTTTAATTATTACTTTACAACTATACAACTAATATAGATTCTGTGTAATATAGAAAATCATTTTGCAATACTATACTATGCTGCATAATATAGTTGATATACTAAATACCAATACGTTGACTATATATTGATCTGTGCGTCTAAAGTTTTAATCATTTTTAAAAAATCTAGTTTATGCTACGTATGTCTTGAAATCTTGTTTCCCAAGACCATTAAAATGAATTGATTTTACAAAGAAAAAGAAACGTATATAAAAAAAAGTGCGATTTATTTGCAGATTATATGAAATAAGGCAATTATATGTGAAAAATATATATCATAAGTGTAACCATGTATATCCATCATTGTTCCATCATTGTTCAAATTTGACTTCGTCTTGACCTCAGATATCAAAACTCAATAACACATTATACGTGACACTAGAAATCGCATCACAATAGACTTGCGAACTGAGATTTATAATACTTATAAACGTTGTATAATTTCTTAGATTTCTTACGCCTATTAAACTTGTCTCGAATTTTTGGTAATTACTACAACACTTCTTGAATTCACGTGCATATATTGGTATCTCTATATGTAACATTAAGAACATTAGGTTATTCTAGATTTAAGAGATGTGCAGCTGTAATCTTCTCGTACAGTACAATATGAAGCAGTACTACAATAAACAGATAGTCATTACAACATCGTGATAACTGATTATACGTATCTGCAGTAACCAATGCGAACGTTGTAACTCGAGTCTGTTGTAAGAAAATTCGACCACTTGAGTGTTTATTGAAAATAACTATCTTTTTAGCA